CCTCAAGATCTCTCTTCTCCACATTGACCATAAGCCCGTATTTCATGAAAAGAGTCAACGACATCTTCTGCTCCACTCTGTAACCCGGCGCCAACGTCAGCCTGTGCCTCAGCAGCACCGCCGCTGCCACCGACTTCATTTGCAGATACGCCAAGTCCTTCCCCAAACATATCCTAGGGCCCGCATTGAACGCTACGAACCTGTACTGATCGTGATTGATGAACTTCCCGCCGTCCGATGACAGCCACCTCTCTGGACGGAACTCCAGGTAATCATCTCCCCAAGTCGACCTCATCCTCCCCGTCGCGTATATCGAGTAAGTTATTGACGAGCCCGCCGGCACAAATGTTCCGTCCGGCAACACGTCGTCTTTAACAACGTGCTTCGAGTCCTGTGGCACCGACGGATACAGCCTCAGTGTCTCCGATAATGCCGCCTTCAGGTAAACCAAACGGTCAATTTCCTCAAATCCTAACGGCTCATCCACCCACGCTGACGTGTCTCTGCCACGTGTCTCAATCAGGACCGCGCATATCTCGTGTAGAATTTTGTTGTCCACCCTTGGATGCTGAGTGATTAGCCAGAAGAACCAGCTAAGTGCCACGGATGACGTGTCACGTCCAGCTAGGATAAAGTTGAGTGCCACATGTTGCAAAAAGGAATCGGAGTATTCCTTCTTTTTCTTCATGAACCTTGAGAGGAGATCGTCGTGGGGGTTCCCGTCTTTCTGCTGACTCAGCAGCTCTTCCTTACGCGTACTGATGACGTCAGACAAGTACTCGTCGATGTGAGCCAGGCTTCGGCTCAGGCTAACTTCCATTCCAAGGCCAAGCCATTTTTTGATCTTCCATAACACTTCGGGTAGAATAAATCGCTGGAGGGAAGCTTCGGTGGCGCGGTCAAAAGCCGTTGCAAATCCGTTTTCCGGTAACCCCGGCGCGCAGGTTTGTGGGTCTTTACCGAAAGCCAAGCCGCATATATTATCAAATGTGAGACGAAGCAGCAAGTCCTGCAGATCCACCGGCTCGGCTTTACGCTGAGCCGTTTCCAAAATGGGGCAGAACCTCAGCTTGATTGCTCGGCTCACCCATCGAGCCATGGCTTGGCGCAGAGTCCTGGTGGTGAACTCAAGTGCAGCAGTTTTCCGCTGGAAACGCCATGTATCGCCGTCGGAGTTGAATATCCCCTGGCCGAGCAGGTCATGGAAGACGCCCTGCCAAGTCGGGCCCTTCGGGTAATTATCGAATCGGACCTTGAGAATATGCTCCACGTTCCTCGGGTCACACGTGACAGTCACGAGACCTTGCTTCCTGGCCAAGAATGGAATAGCGCAGATACAGGTCTGGTAGGTGCCACCGCAGGCGCGGAGATTATCGCAGATCCAGTCGTGCATGCGATCACAGTTCTCGATCAAGCCCGGAAGACTGCCGAGTAAGGGCCAGACACGTGGACCCCTTAGGGACCGGGAGATGAATGTGAACCATAGTAGGTAAGCTGTGACTGCTGCTAAAAGCAACAAAGCAGTTGATATCTCCATGATGCTGATTTAGTCTTTTTTTTTTTCCAGGAAAATGTTTGCTCTAGGAGGTAAAATAGAAAATACAGATTACCCTTTGGAAAAAATGGCAACTTGGGCAAGAAGGTGAGCTAAAAGTTGTGGTTTTTGCAGAGGAAAAACGAGAGGTGAAGAATGGGTTTTAGCTAAAAAGCATATACATTGTGGGGAATGAAATGAAGTGAGTGATAGAAGAAAGACAGAGTATATATATACACATAGAGAGAAAGAGAAAGAGGAAGAACTAGAGATGAGAAGGTGATGTAGATGTGTATTAAGCTATGTAGTACTAAAGTGTTAAAGTGAAGTGGGTAAATTGATAGGTGAAATGATAATGAGAAGGAGTTAATAAGGGTAGAGTTAGCTAGCCAGACTGGGCATGAATGGAACCTCTCTGTTTCTTTTTTCTATTTTTCTGATTTTCCCAATAATCATATGCGCCTCCATTAATGCTGCATGAGAGAGGTCGTTGAAACTTTTAAAAAGCCAAGAACAGCAATGGCCTCTGGTATATACATATAGTTTTCCTTTCCCTCCTCTGTATGGCAAATAAACCTAATCTCTCTCTCTCTCTCTCTCCTTTTCTCTTCTCTACGATCTGCACCTAATTCTGCAGCAAAGAGAAAGCGGTGTTTACTTCAAGCATTCAATGAAGAGAATTGAATGAGTTTGGTTGAGAAGGCAAGACCCACACTCTTTTTTAAGAGTGGCAGGGAGGAAAAAGAAAACCAAATGGGTCCTCTACAATATATATACATACATAATCTGTTATGTACGTATATATAAAAGAGTGGTTCCGTTTTGTGTATCTACAAGAAATGATAATTTCCTTGGACATATAAAAGAAAATTGGGCTGGGCATGGGGGCTTTGGTTATGGTTGGTTGAGCAACTCAACCAACAGTTTATAGTCTTTACTTACGTTAACATTTATAATAATACATTAATAGTTCAGATTTTCTTCTTCTTCTCCTAGCACAGGGTAAGCACTCAAAATACATATTTATATATGTATATACATATACACACACTAGAGGGTGTTGACTTTCCTCCTTAAATTGTTCTGATGGTAAGCAGTAGTAATTGGGGTGGGTTAATTGTAGAAAAGGTCAACCCTGTAGATTTTGACATTTGGCACAAACATGAATGCATTTGCTTTCCGATCTTTACACTCGCCACTTATTATTTTAATTTTTTATATCTCATGAAAATATTTCCTCATTTCTATTTTTTTTTATTATCACATATTTTTGTACATTACATATGAATAAAAATAATTTTTTATAAAATATTATGGAATAGTCTTGTATTGTTCCACTGTTCTTGTTTTTTTTTTTTTTTCTTTTCCAATTTTACTCTTTAGTCAGTTTTGCTTCAGTACATTTTAATCATTTGTGAAAAATTATTAATTTTTTTTACCGAGAAATATTATACAAATACTATTAGTACATTTTAAATTAAAATTTTATAAAATTTTAATAAATACTTACAATTTTTATTTCACTTATGCTCTCGTAACATCTTATAATTATATGATCTCGATTAAATTAGTTTGTAGTATTAACACATATATTTGATGTTACCATAAGGTATAAAATCTTATAAATTTAGAGATACCTAAGTAGCTTTTAATTAACCTCAACCTTTTTCATTAATAATTTGAAAATATTCGAAATTGCAAATTATTTTTTAACAACTCACTTAATGGAGATTATTTTTACTTTAATATCATCACAAAAATTAAATTATATAATTTATAGGTGTATGTATCAACCAACCTAGTGATGAGTATGTGTTAAATCTCAGACTGAGTTTTCAACAAAAATACGGATTACTATAAATTAGTAAGAAGATCATTATCAACTATTTGGGAAGCCATTAATTTTCGGCCATATGATTTTGATTATCATCGTTGACTTGTTTCTAATTCAATCAATGCATTTTTTTCTGCCACCGTTTTCTGTTGGCCTGTTATTGCTACGAATTAATTCACTAAAATATACATATATATATATATATATAGATACACATAAACACAATAAACTTATTAAAACGAAATTTAATTTGATTACTACAATATAATTATACTAACATAAATTTTTAATTTTATTAAATTAAATATTATAAATAAATTATTATTAATTCATAATATATCTATAAAAAAAAACATTCTTTGCAACAATTAAATTCATAATTTTTAATATTAATAAACATATTAATTAAATAATATACTATATTATTTTTTTTTATGAAACTACAAACTATATATCTATAATATAGAGTAGTACTCGGAGTATAATAGTTAATGATATATTTTTACTTTGTCAATAATAATTGAATTATTTTTGAGTCTCCCCTTAATTACTAAAAAAATAAATTTTTTTTAGTAAACGTGTATATGATTTTAATACAGTGGCAGGTGTATCTATATCTGCACGTAAAATTTACATTCATGAGTCTGAATTATAAATTTGTATAAAAATAATTAATAAATATAAATTTAATTATAAATAATATATAAAAAATTGAATTAATTGTAGGCCACCAACCAAAGCAGCGCATCACGTGGTCACGCAATTGAATTGAAATCCTTTGGGTCACTCCAGCTGTTTCTTTTGACATTTTTCCTCATTCCTCGTCACTCATTAAATACCATCTTTATTTTTATTTTTATTTTTATTATTTTTTAAAAAATCTTAAGATATTCTTCAACTTTTTTTTTTTATAGTAAATTTCAGTTTGGTTTTTTGTGACTTAAAATTTTTTATTTTATTTTTTTTTTCTGTATTTAGATTTTAAGGTGGTGAACCTTAAAAAATTATATTTAATATCTTAATTTTTTTTAAAAAAAATATGGAACCAAAATTTGTCAAATTAAAATTTCCCTTTTTGTTATTATGTAAACTAACTTTGATCTACAAATTTTAGAAGACATTTTCTCATACGCAATTAATTGAAACTTTGACAAGAGTTTAATACGAGTTGGTTACAAGTTCAACAAGTAATTAATATAATCTTCTAAAAACTACTTCGGAGTTTGAAGAGATATTTCAATAAGTAATTAATTGGTTGAATTGGCTCAAGAATTTGTAAAATTAAATATAAAAATCGGCGACAAAATTACTTAATTTATATTAAAAATATACAAATGTTAAAGAAAACTATCATTCTACTCGCAACCCTCTTATGGATCAGATTTTGGATCCTGATCTTTTTGATCTGAAATGGTTAAATAATGGATGAGATATACTAGTCCAGTATGAATATCACACTATATCACTGACACAGAAATGAAGGTTGGTAAAAAATCAAAACAACTAATTGAACACTTAATTTAAACTAATACATTTATTAAAAATAAAAGCATTTACCATCCACTTACCGCAACGAAGTTTATAAAAGTAATCTATAGAGACAATAATATAGTACTTATCATGATTTCATATGCAATTAGTAACAGACACACATTATAAATCCATATTCAATAAATCAAACAACAATCTTTCTTTTTATCGGCCTGTTGGTATCTATGAGAGTTCATAGGGATGTCCCCGCTACGAGTGAACCATTTCCTTCAACATTCTCAATTTAAGGGCCGTTCTCATACCCCGTTCAGTATGAGTGTGAAACGAGCTGTACCCATATTCCGTCCGGTATGAGCGTCAAATTACCAAGTCTCGATACTCTGTTCGATATGAGCGTCAAATTACCAAGTCTCGATACCCTGTCTGGTATGAGACAACGTTCACGGTAGGATTTCCTATTGTACCCAGTCTGTCCACCATCTCCCAGAATATACAGTAAGGCTTTCGTTTCATCCATTCACTTAATTACATAATTTTTTTATTTTTCTTTAGTCTCCATTTTCCAAATCAACCACAATCACATAAACAAACAAACATCCATCAGGGAATGCAATCATATCTCAGTTTTTCAATTTAACAGTAGTCATATAAGGCAGCAATACATGCATTCAAATCATAAAATTATTAAATCAGATACTATCATGCATTTAGACTGTAAAATAAATCAACAGAGAATAATTTTCAATTATGGCTCCATTAGTAACAGGTAATTAATTATAGATATTTTTTAAGTTTCACAAAATACCGTATTATTTAAAATTAAACTTCAATTCCATAACAGATGATAGGGTGAAGGATTCTTACTCAATTTGGTGCCCGAAAATCTAAGATATTTACTGCACATATAGGCAATTTTCAGATTTTTTGAATTTTTCTTTGGGAATTAAAACTCACTATAAGTACCTACAAATATCTCAAACAAATCCAAAATTAGTCTCAGGCCCCACTTTGGCCAATTTCAGAATTCCAGCACGGCGGCTTTGCTGTGCTCCGGTGACGGTGCCGTCGCCCGCGATGGTGGTCCACCTCGGGTCGACTGTTTTTGGCCTTTTTTAGTCAGATTCAGCCGATTTTGCATCAGTTTTTGCTAGAAAACATGCTAAGAGGTCTCGGTTGGCCGAAAAAATACAAAAAATTAAAACTCACCGGCGGCGGAGCTCTCCGGTGCGGCGGCTCCTCTGGCTCACGTTGCGGTTGGGTGTTTTGCTCTAGTCACCTGTAGATAAGGAAACGGTGATTATAACGGTAGAAAAATTACGCAGAACATGAATCGAGAAAGACCTCATTGGAGGCATTTTGTGAATTCCCCACGGCGGCACCGCCAGGCTTTGTCCATATTTTCGGGCTAATCGACCGGTCCTTTTACTCCGATTTGGCCATGAGTGTGTTTAAAATTAAATTCTGAGCAAGAAAAAAATTTTCACCTCTTTTGGCAGTCGGAAAAGGCTCCAGCGCAGCGGCAGGTGGCAGCGGTCTCCTTCCCGGCGGCTAGGTCTTCTTCTCCAGCGATGGGGTCTAGCAGCTAGGGTTAGGATTTGGTGTAGATGGGGGTTATTTATATCCGTCCGCTTTTGATCTGGGCCGTCTATTGCGTTTGATCTGTATCGTTCGATCGCGATTAAATAGGGAGTAAATCTGGGTCGTTAATTATGATCCAATCTGGATCGTTCATCGCAATTCAATCTAGACCATCCGATCGCGTTCAAATCTGACTGTCCAATCCTGTTTGGGGAGGGAGTGAATCTGAGCCGTTCGTGCGCGAGAGAACGGATCTGAGCCGTTCGATCGCTGGCACGCGGATCGCCCGTGTGGCCTCTAGCATGGCACTGCGTCAGCGTTCCCTTCCACGTGGCACGTCCTAATTCGTCAGGACTGCTGACCAGGCATCCTACTTGGCAAAACTTCTCTAAATTGCATTTTAACCTTCGGTTTTCGATTTTTCTTTCAAAAATATCCCTAAAACCTAAATTTTTGCCCATTTTTCCAAAATTATTTTCAATTTAATTCTCAATCAATTTTACTTTATTTTTACTCTAAATTAAAATTAAAAAATTAAAAAATTAAGAAATTATATTTATAATTAAATTCTAGATTATATTAAAAAATTAATTTAGGGTGTTACATATTTCAATAAGTATTGGTTGAATTGGCTCAAAAATTTGTAAAATTAAATATAAAAATTGGCAATAAAATTACTCAATTTATATTAAAAATATACAAATGTTAAAGAATACATATACATATCATATAATATAAATTTACAAAAAAAAAAAGTTAAGAAAATAAAAATATTAAAATGATCAAATTGTTAGAAATTTTCTTTTTTTAAAAAAAATTAAAGGTGTAATACCCGGACTCGAAAATCGGCTAGGGATGATTTTTTTTTATTTTAAAAATATATATTAATGAATAA